CTTTTTTGTTGTTAATGAAAATAAGTTTTATTACATCAAGTAATAAATACATACAAAGATGCAAACAATTTTATTCACTTTCTTCCAGATGTTTAGATCAACTTACAGGAAAGGCGGAACTGAAATCCATACACAGTCTCAATAGGAAAATTTTCAGGGTTTCTTGTTAGGTTAGGTTTGTTAGGTTGCTCTTTCTTCTGTATTCATAACTTGTGCATTTTTTAAATTGACCTTAAAGCACTGATAGTCATACAAGCAAATGATTAAGCACAAAAGAAGTTACATTAAATGGAATCCACACCATGTGGCAAACATATGCACTAAAAACAAAACCCTCAGAGTTGTAGTATTAACTTATGAAAAGGAACAAAGAATAATCTGGGTAACCTAACTGTATTCAAAAGAGAGGATGAAAGGGAGACACTGGTATCTGCTGTGAGATAAGTATCTTTTACATGCAACTTTTAAATCAGTGCTTTAAAAAAAATCCTGGGTAGTTCCTAACTATTTAAAATGTAAATCCTAGTCATCTGCAAAATATTTCTCAATCTCAGAGCCTCATGAACCATGGGAGGGACACGGGAAGGAGAAAACAAACTGCTACCATTTTGAAAACAAGAGTTTCATCTGAGCATGGGAGATGAGCTGTAACTTCTCATCTTGGAAGAAGATGGAAAACCTTCCGCACTAACAGGCAGCTAGGATCTGGCATTCCACTCCTTTTCAGCCAAGCACTCTCACACCAGTCCTCTGGTGTGAATAATGCCTCATTTTAGTCTCTCCATGGCGCTCTTGTTCCCTGCATAGGTGGGTCTAATTTCCTTCCCCAACTCCTTGATGATGGCTAGCAACTCAGCATATTTGCTTTTGGGAGCCTGGCTGTTCCCCGTTCCCTGGGTGTAGCCTAGAGATGGTAGCCCATAGTCACTTAGCAACTGGTGGTACTGTAATTATGTTGCCATACTGGTGGATGGCAGGTGGACGCTCCCAGCAGTATTGATGAAGGCCACGGGCATGTCTGTATATAACATCTTATACATGCAGCAGTCTATATTAAGTTGATGGTTGCTTCAGTTTGAACCCATTCTTTACTCCTCTTCCCCAACATTTTAGGTATATGGTGTCATATTTAACATCCTTTTATTTTATGAATCCCTTGACTGATTTTTACAGAAATACTAGTTTTTACTGCTTTTGTGCTTCCTACTTTTCTTACTCTTACTTACAGTCTTTCCTTTCCAACTCATAAAATTTGGCCCCTCTCACTTTCAAAGCCAAATGTTATGGGGATTTATCTTTCCTGTGTGGGCTTCCTGGTGTGATAGTCTGTTTCTTTCCCCTCTCCATGCCAGGGTCTCTCCCTCTGCAGAAGGTCCCAGGGCTCCCTTTAGCTTCTAACTGCATCTCTGCCTTTCCTACCCTCTCTGATATGGCCTCTTTTTTTTTTTTTTTTTTACATTTTAAAAAATTTTATTATGTTATGTTAATCACCATACATTACATCATTAGTTTTTGATGTAGTGTTCCATGATTCATTGTTTGCTTATAACACCCAGTGCTCCATTCAGTATGTGCCCTCTTTAATCCCCATCACCAGGCCTACCCATCCCCCCACCTCCTCCCCAGTTTGTTTCTCAGAGTCCATAGTCTCTCATGGTTTGTCTCCCCCTCCGATTTCCCCCCTTCATTTTTCCCTTTCTACTATCTTTTTTTTTTTAACATATAATGTATTATTTGTTTCAGAGGTACAGGTCTTTTCTACCTTTAGTTGTGGAGTTTGCTCTGCCAGTCTTTGGGTCATTTTCTGGGTTATTTCCATTGATGTGAGTGTTATCTAGTTGGATCCATAGGATGAGGTAAGCTTAGGGTCCCCCTAGTCCATCATCTTTTTTGTAATTCTCCTCTTCTAATTGACATTTATAAGAATTTTTCTTCTAGATACAAGTCCTTTATCAGATAATATGATTTGCAAAATTTTCTCCCAGTCAGCAGCTTGTCTTTTAATTCTCTCAATAATGTCTTTGGAAGAACAAAGTTTTTAATTTTGAGGAAGTCTAGTTTTTCAATTTGTTTATTGTCTTGATTTTGCTTTTGGTGTCCTTTCTAGGAAATCTTTACCTAACTTGAGGTCAGAAGGATTTTCTACTGCATTTTCTTCTAGAAGTTTTATATTTTAGCTTTTTATTAAGTCTCTTCTTCATTTTGAGTTGACTTTTGCATATGGTGTGCTATATCTATTGCAGTTGATGTTTGTGCATATGGAGACCCACTTGTTCCAGTACCATATGTTGAAAAGTCTACACTTCCTGCACTGAATTGCCTTTAGCTTTGTCAAATGTCAGTTATTCATTTATGAGTGGTTCTATTTGTGGACTCTTTATGTTGTTCCTTTGATATACAATTCTATCTTTATCCCAATACCACTCTGTCTTGATTACTGTGGATTTATGATGAGTCTTGAAATAAGACAGTGCTTATCCTCCCAATTTATTCTTTTTTTTCAAAGTTATTTTCATATTCTTGTCTCTTTTTATTTCCACATGACTTTTAGTATAAGAATGTCAACTTATGTTTTAAAATGTATGCTAGGATTTTTATTGGGATTGTATTGATTCTATAGGTCAGTTTGGGGAGGATAGATAATAATACTAGGTCTCCTCCCTCAAGAAGATGATATATTCTTCCATTTATTTAGGCCTTGTTTAATTTCTCTCAGCTGATGTTTTGCAGGGGTCACAGTACTGGCCTTGCACATGTGAATATGCATGTGCTATATAGTTTTCTCTATGTAGTTCATACTTTTTATGCTATTGTTAATGGCAGTATTTTGTGTTACACTTTTTAATTATATTTTCACTGAACTCTCAGTAGGAAAATGTTGCTGGGTAATGTTTCTGGTTGAAAGCACAAGTTACTTAAGGATGGAAAAAATACTTGATGTTTAAGACCTATATTAGTCAGGGTCTCCAGAGGAATAGAACCAATAGAGTGTTTATAGATAGATAGAGATATATTTTCAGGAATTGACTCATGAGATTTTGGAGACTTGGCAGAATCTAATGGGAGAACCTGCCAGGCTGAAGACTCAGGAAAGAGTTACAGTTGGAGTCTGAAGGCAGTCTGTTAGAGAACCACAAGGTACTGATGTTGTAGATGATGTCAAAGGCAGTCTACTGGCAAAATTCCCTCTAGATCAGGGAAGATCAGCCCTGTGTTCTGTTCATGCCCTTCACCTGATTAGATAAAGCCCACCCACGTTATGGAGAGCTAATTGCTTTACTCAAAGACTGCCCATTTCAGTGTAAGTCACATTCAGAAACACCCTCACAGAAATATCCAGTATAATGTTTGATGAAATATCTGAGCACTGTGGCCCCACCAAGTGGACACACAAAATTCATCATCACAATATTCATTTGCTTAGATTGCCTTATTGGCTTTTAGATGTGATTGGCAATATACTGATCCTAGGGAATCAAATGTCCCATGGGAAATTCTACAGGTCATCTTCAGAAAATTAGTTACTAACATGAAAATAATTTAGTGGCTTTTAACTTTATTTGTTTGGTTTGAATTGAATTGTGGAGTTTTCCTTCTTTATCCCCAAACAAATCCACCTCAATTAATTCCTTGGATCTTGGGTGGTAAGAAAAAGAGGGAGTGAGCACATATGAATGTGTGTGTGTGTGTGTGTGTAGCTGTGAGGAATATTTCTTGTGAGGAATATGTGAGGTGAATTACTGTGAGTTATGTCAGTCCTCCTTAGTTCCTAGTACATGTTAGGAGACAAGTCAGGATAGTTGCTGTTTGTTTTTTCCCAGCTTTCCTTGGACAGCATGGTTACTCTGGTGACTCAGTGATTACTGGGGTATTTCATACAGAGTGAAAATGCATTTGTGATTCTTGCCTGAATCACTCGTTACCATGATAGCTTTTACGTGTTGATCTTACAATTGTCATTCCTTCTAGATTTATAAATTGTCATTAAAATATTGGGAAGTGGGGCGCCTGGGTGGCTCAGTCGGTTAAGCCACTGCCTTCGGCTGAGGTCATGATCCCAGGGTCCTGGGATCGAGCCCCGCATCAGGCTCCCTGCTTAGCGGGGAGCCTGCTTCTCCCTCTCCCTTTGCCTGCCTCTCTGCCTACTTGTTCTCTCTCTCTCTGTGTCAAATAAATAAATAAAATCTAAAAAAAAAATATTGGGAAGAGCTTTTCCATCTCTATTATTTATTTATTCATTCATTCATTCATTCATTCATTCATGTATTTATTTTATTAGTATGACTCATGGATTTTTATTTTGCTCAAAGGCTTACCATCTGACAGTATAATTGTGTAGTTTGATGCACACATTGTTACTGAATTGGCCAGTGTTTACCCCTTCAAATTAGGTTCTGTGTCTATTTGTCACCTCCCAAAATACTTTCAGTATGTACTTTGTTCTGCAAAATGGAGTATTTCCCAAAATATAGAAGGAATGTAATGTTGCCTCTGACATTAATTTGATAGCATGAGTACCAGATAGAATAGTTGGACATGGGGCGCCTGGGTGGCTCAGTTGTTAAGCATCTGCCTTCGGCTCCGGTCATGATCCCAGGGTCCTGGGATCGAATCCCACATCAGGCACCCTGCTCGGCGGGAAGCCTGCTTCTCCTTCTCCTACTCCCCCTGCTTGTGTTCTCTCTCTCACTGTGTCTCTTTCTGTCAAATAAGTAAAATCTTTAAAAAAAAAAAAAAGGAATACTTGGACATGGAGCAGCAAGCAGGGATGAGCCCATATTTCCATGATGTAAGAGCTTCAGTGTCACTGCTGTGTACGGGAGGGGGCTGTGGGATGGAGCTGGAGAAGAGGAAGAGTGTCACTGCACAGCTTCCAGTGACCTGAGTGAGGACAGGCAAGCACATCCTCGCCCCTTTTCCCTGCCTTTCGTGTGTTCTCCCTTCCTCTCACTTTCCTCTCTATTCCATGTGCTGAATGATCCCCTGTCTCTCCCTTCTAGTGAAAGCAGAGCAGTGTGTGAACTGTGAGCCCCAGAAACAGGAAACAATAGAGAAGAACCAGGTGTGATGTCCAGTGTGCTAGACAAATTGCTGGAACAAGAGCGACAAGATCAGGGTCCCATCATTGGGATACTTTAGGTAAGTCACTACTCTTCCTCCAGTGTCTTTTATATAACAGAATAACAATACCCAACTCTCCCAACCACCCAGGAGTATTGTGGACTTTAAGTGAGATCCCATGTGAGAAAGGAATCTGTGGTTATAGGTGGGAGGGAAGGACCAGTGCCCTTTTGAGTAATTTATTAACAGAGACACACCACGTATCACAGAACTCTGCAAGGTAGGCATTAAATTAATGGTACAGAAATGTTAGATGTTTAGATCAGGAGTTTTCCAAGTATGGTCTATATACCCCCTCATCAAGTTGGCATGGAGTGCTTGTTAAAATAACAGGTACAGAAGATCACCCTAGGTCTGCTGTATCCAAAACAGGGAGGTGGAGTGAGAATGATTTCTCCTGTGTGTTATGGTATTCACCCAAGATTGAATAGCACTGCTGTGAATTTGCAACAAGGGTTTCTTAAAATTTTGAATCATTTAATGTCTTATTTTGATGTCAGTTTCTTTGGAAGCTCAGCTTTAAATATTTGTGTGTGCTCCCAGTGGATCAGAAAGGGAACAATTCTTTCTTTTCAGTCATACTATTCAGTGTTTATTTGGGAAGGACTGCCATAGTTTCTTAAGGCTCATGTAACTAAGTACCACAAACTGGATGGCTTAAACCATAGAAATTTATTATCTCACAGTTCTGGAAGCTATCCCTGATCAAAGTATTTCCAGGGCCATGCTTCCCCCAAAATCCTTTTGGGGACTATCCATGCTCCTTCCTAGGTTCTGGTGGTTTGCTGGCAATCTCTGCATTTACTGGCTTGCAGATGTTGGCTCCAATCACTGTCTTCATCATCACAGTGTGTTGTCCCTATTTTGTCTTCACATGGCTGTCTTCTCATAAGGACACCAGTCACATTTGTTTGAGGACAGACCCTACTCCAGTATTAACTAATTGCATCTGCAGCAACCCTAATTTCAAATACGGTTATGTTCTGAGGTATTGGTGGTTCATATCTTTTTGGGGGTGATGCAGTTCAATCTATAACAGCCATTGAAGTAGCCACTTGCCATGGATGCGTCACTTTGAACAAGACAAGGCAGCATCCCTGGTGCTTTGTTTCTAGCCTGGAAAAACTGGCAATAAGCAGGTAAGCAAATTAATAGGCAGGAGAATTTCATATGGGATGAGTTCTTTAAAGAAAATAAATGTATCCATTGCATAGGAAATGATGGGGACAGGGAGTGTTATAGATGGTGTTGTCATTGATGCTGTTTCTCAGGCAGTGACATTTGAACTGAGTCCTGAACAAGAGGAAACCGGGCCTGGGCTGGTATTTTGGTTTGTGATGTGTGTGGCGCTAGTTCCAGGAGCAGAGGATGAACTCAAGTGGCCAGAGTCTGGCAGACAAAGTGCCAGTCGTAAGAGATGAGATTGAAGGGCAGGGAGGAGCCACATATTTTGGGCTGTGTATGGAGATTGGAGTCATTCTGAGTTTGGAGGGTTGCAGTATGGGAGCAACAAGATCTGATTCATGTGCTCACAAGGTGACTCTGGCTGAGTTCACAATTCAGATATCTAAAATTTTTTTTAAAATATCAGGGAAAAATGGTTTGTTTACTATGATACCCATCCTGCTAGGAAAATTCATAAGTGTATTAAAGCAGACTCATTTTCCACTAACCGCAGACTACCTGGTGTTCATTGATTTATCTCTTCCCTCATTATTGCCAGCTGATGTACATTGTGGACTGTGCAGAGTGTCCCTACCAGAAAACAGGGTGTTCACCTTCTATTACCCCATCTTTGCAGGCTACCCAGACCAACTTATACTCCCTGTTTGTCATCCCCTGTCCATGACACAGACCATAGCTGCCCAGACCCCACTCCGAGCCCCATCCTCTCTTAGTTATCTATTTCCTTTTCTGCCCTGCATTGCCCTTTGCATGCCTGCTACAGACTGCCAAAGCATGCCACTGCCACCAGGTGTTTTTTTTTTAAGTTTATTTATTTTTTTTTTAGTAATTTCTATACACAACGTGGGGTTCAAACTCATGACCCTGAGATCCAAGAGTCACATGCTCTTCTGACTGAGCCTACCAGGCGCCCTTGCCACCAGGTGTTTTGATGTCTCCGGACCCCATAGTATATCACAATCTTATTTTACATCTATCATTTTTTCAGGTGTAAAGTCATTCTGTATAGGTTCACAGCCTGGGTTTTTAGGGTGGTTATTGTTATTTGTTTTGTTTTTTTTTACTTCTTGCAAACATTCTGTAGGACAGAAGTTTGACGCTGGTGGTACGTTGATGCCACCTTGTGACAAAATCCTGAACTGCAGCTTGAACAGGATAATGGGAACAAGGGGCTGGTGACCCACAGAACTTTCTGGAAGTCAGGATGGAAAGGGGAAAACTCCTTGGGTACAGTTATATTGATGGCCTGTCTCTGGACATTTTATATAAATGGAATCATGCAACATGTGGTCTTTTGCATATTTGGCTTTACTGTCATAGCATTTTCAAGGTTCATCCATGTTATAGCACATATCACTATTTTATTCCTTTTTCTTTTTTTTTTAAAGATTTTATTTATTCATTAGAGAGAGAGAGAGAGCATAAGCAGGGAGAGGGGCAGAGGAAGAGGGAGAAGCAGACTCCCCGCTGAGCAGGGAGCCTGATGCGAGACTCGATCCCAGGGCCCCAGGATCATGACCTGAGTCAAAGGCAAACGCTTAACCAACTGAGCCACCCAGGCGCCCCTGATTCCTTTTTATTGCCAAATAATATACCACATTTTATTTATGCATTCATTAATTGATGGAAAATTGGGTTATTTCCATTTTTGGCTCTTATAAATAATGATGCTATGTACGTCCATGTCCAAGTTTTTATATAGACATATGTTGTCATCTGTCCTGGCTGTGTACCTACAGTGGGATGCTGGGTCATATGGTAACTGCTGAAGCATTTCAGGAATTACCAGAGTGTTTTCATGACCCTGACAGTATTGAGGAGTACAGGCATAGTCTTGTTATTTTTTCTCCTGATTAGATTGAGGTTATGCATTTTGGGAAAGAACACCAAAGAGTTGAAGTGCCCTCGCATCACATTACATTTAGGAGGACCTGATACCAATATGGCATCACTGAGATGTTGACCCTCAGTACGAGGTTAAGGTGATGTTTGTTTAGTTTGACTAATGTAACTATTTTCCATTCACCTACTATATTCTTTAGATGTGAATCACTAAGTCAGTCCTGACCTCAGGGTTGGGAAATGGAATTAAGGTTCACCTCATGGAGACAAGATATCTACATATGTTATTTTGAATTATTTGATGAAGATAGTTTGTCTCTTGTCACCTGTTTTTTTATTATTTCAAACAACCCCACCCTTTTCACACTTTACTTCTTTGTTTCCATTCTGGAGGAGCCTAAAACTTAACTAAAGTGATGGTGTAGAGTTTTTCTTAATTCCTGTTAATTGGATGAATGGATGGATAGATGCATGCATGCATGCATACATGTAGGAGGTGTCACACATGTGCGGGGGGGAACTCATGGATATTTACATTCCAGGCAGAGCTCTTCTTGCAGCTGAATGAAGCCGTGGTATTGGTCGCTGAGAGAATGTACCCTCTCAGAACTGTGCAGCTGATAGTTTTGGTAGTTTATATATGTTTCTAGGAATTCATCTGTTTCTTCCAGATTGCCTAATTTGCTGGCATATAATTGCTCATAATATGTTCTTATAATTGTTTGTATTTCTTTGGTGTTAGTTGTGATCGCTCTTCTTTCATTCATGATTTTATTTATGTGGGTCCTTTCTTTTTTCTTTTTGATAAGTCTGGCTAAGGCTTTATCAATCTTGTTAATTCTTTCAAAGAACCAGCTACTAGTTTCGTTGGTCTGTTCTACTGTTTTTTTTTTTTTTATTATTTCTATATCATTGATTTCTGTTCTAATCTTTATTATTCCCCCTCTCCTGCTGGATTTAGGCTTTATTTGCATTTTTTCCAGCCCCTTTTAGTTGTAAGGTTAGTATGTGTATTTGAGACTTTTCTTGCTTCTTGAGGAAGGTCTTTTTTTTTTTTAAGATTTTATTTATTCATTTGACAGAGAGAGAGAGACAGCAAGAGAGGGAACACAAGCAGGGGAAGCGGGAGAGGGAGAAGCAGGCTCCCAGCCAAGCAGAGAGCCTGATTCGGGGCTCGATCCCAGGACCCTGGGACCATGACTCCAGCCAAAGGCAGACGCCCAACGACTGAGCCACCCAGGTGCCCCTTGAGGAAGGTCTATATTGCTATATACTTCCCTTGTAGGACCATCTTTACTGCATCCCAAAGGTTTTGGACTGTCATGTTTTTATTTTTATTTGCTTCCATGTATTTTTTTTATTTCTTCTTTAGTTTCTTGGTTAATGCATTCATTCTTTAGTAGGATGTTCTTTAATCTCCATGTATTTGTGGTCCTTCCAAATTTTTTCTTGTGGTTGACTTCAAGTTTCATAGCACTGTGGCTAAAAATAAGCATGGTATGATCTCAGTCTTTTTGTGCTGGTTGAAGCCTGATTTGTGATCTAGTATGTGATCTATTCTGGAGAATGTTGCATGTGCACTCAAAAAGAATGTTTATTCTGCTGCTTTAGGATGAAATGCTCTGAATATATCTGTGAAATCCATCTGATCCAGTGTGTCATTCAAAGCCCTTGTTTCCTTGTTGATCTGCTTAGATGATCTGTCCATTGCAGTGAGTGGGGTGTTAAAGTCCCTACTATTATTGTATTTTTCAATGTGTTTCCTTAATTTTGCTATTAATTGGTTGATATAATTGGCTCCTCCCACGTTAGGGGCATAAATGTTTACAATTGTTAGATCTTCTTGTTGGATAGATACTTTTATTATGATATAGTGCTCCTCTTAATCTCTTATTACAGTCTTTGGTTTAAAATCTAATTCATCTGATATAAGGATGGTTACCCCAGCTTTCTTTTGATGTCCATTAGCCTGATAAATGGTTCTCCACCCC